AAATTAGACCTAGCATCTGTCTGTGTTTCTTATCTTCATTAACCTCCTGACTGTGCCTGCTTACTTTCCAGCTCTCCTCCAAACATTTGTATAAGATTCATGTGTTCTGGCTCCTGCCCACCCCTTTGCCTCTTCATGTGCTCCCACTGCCCCTGGGCTCCATGGGGACAGTCACACCAAGTTTTTGAGTCACAGATGCACCATGCTTCTCACCACCAAGCCTTTGCCATTGGAGCAGTAGCTACCTGGGACATCCTTCCTTCCAAACTGCCAACCTCCACACCCTGCCTTCCACCAGTTAGCCCTACACTTTCATTCCTCCTCCAGGTCTCAGTTGAAGCATCACTTCCTTGAGAAGACTTTGCTGATCACCTCTGATGGGTTTAGTGTCTCTATTATTCATATAGTCTCTTTTTACAACAAGACTCTGCTCCTTCCCTGTACTAATCACACAGTCCTATGTGGCAGCCACCTTGCATGTATTTGTCTGCTGATTTGATTTATAGTCTCTCATCCACTAGACCATGAGCTTCTTGATGGCAAAGATTATGCTAGATTTATTCATTAATGTGCAAATCACAGAGTAAGCATTCAAGATGAGTTACTATTGTTTCATACACCTGAAGTGGCAGATCAGCTTTTCATTTGGATTTGTTTAGAATGCTATCTGTATGTTTACTACTTGTAAAATTGACAAAAAATAAAATATTATCAACCACTGCATAAGCCTGATGCCAAGCCAGTCAATCTGATAAACTCACACAAACATGAGAAATAAAGCTATTAGATAAATATGATATATTGTTTAGAAGAGTCAATTTGTTCATGAGTTAGTGGGGGGCATAGTTGGGGAGATAATTTTGTAACATAACAAAGGACTATTATGGAGTTTGGAGATAAAAACATTTTAGATATGGAAGGCTTTCTTTTTCTCTGATTATTTAAAATATGAACTTAGAATATTAGTAATAAGTAAGATCCATTCCTAAACTCTAACAATTTTTAAGCCTGAATCAATATATGTTAAAACATTTTTCCCCTAAAGTGTATTATATATATATATATATATATATATATATATATATATATATATATATTTTTTTTTTTTTTTATTCATCCACAGGCAGATCAGGCTTATACTTAGTGAACTCATAAAGTAAGTGCTGCAGCCTGATTTAATTTAAAACAAGTGCATAATAACATGTAAGCAAAGGTTTACAAAATGTACACTATAACCAAAAAGTTTAATAAGTAGTATTTAATTTTTTAATTTTAATTTTAGTTTTGGTACCAGGGATTGAACCCAGGGGCACTTAACCTCTGAGTCATATCCCCAGACCTTTTTGTTTTTATTTTGAGACAGGGTCTCACTAAGCTGCTGAGGAGTTCACTAAATTGTTGAGTCTGGCCTTGAACTTGTGATCCTCCTGTCTCAGCCTCCTGAGTCACTGGAATTACAGGAGTTTGCCACCACGCCCAGCAATATTTCATTACTGTTCACAGAGATGTCTCAGAGAAATTTGAAAATGCCAAGAAAAGTAGGAATGGTATTTAAGGCTCTGGCCAACTTTAGATTTGAATATAGATGTTTGATCTAATCCTTCTCAAAACGTGTGTTCTAAAGCAGATGCTGATAACTGGAACAGACATCCCAATGAACACATCCGTGCACACAGGTGAGGGAGGAAAACAGAGTGTAGGGATTTATTTATTTTATGTGGAGATTATTTTCTTCAACAGTAATCCTGTGATTCAACATTCATAAAATAAATCATTTACAATTTGAGCAAAATAACACCAGATTCCTGCAAAGCTATAGAAAATGACTTGTGGGGGCTAATAGGAAACAGGGGCTAGAACTAGTGTATGGAGCCTTTGTTCTATTCCCAGGGGTTGACACTCTTTAAAATGCTCACAAATCACTACTTATGACTCACACGCTTCCACCCACTCCTCTTCTCCAGGCTCTTAATTTCACCAGGGATTCTTGTGTTATCCTAGGTTTTTAAATGCACACTTTCCCACTGTTCTCCAGTCAAATGCCTTCTCTGTTTGTGAAGACCTTGTAAAAGAAGGACTAAGGCATTGTAGACCAGGACATTTTTCACCAAACTGACCTAGATTCTCCTAAGTGATTCATTTCTTGATTGCCTGTGAGGTACCAACCCCTCTACTGGTCTTGTTTGCCCCATCCCTCCTGCCCTCAGCTATCCGAAATCATGCTTCCATCTAGATGCAGACTGTGTTCTATCCTTAATAAGGACTCAGCAGAATTCAAAATTTGTCTAGTTTGTTCCCTATCTGAATACTTCCTCAAATCTGTGCAGAAGTAGTTATTCCAACCAGTTGCATTTCATCCAAATCCCCCCACCCCAGGGATCCAGGTCACCTTATGTGTCTTCCTTTGGCTTAGGTCCGCTGATCACAGTGTTCCTACTGCCCTTCCTGCAGTCCAAGACATGAATATAGGGCAATGTAAAGCCCTGACCTATATCCCAATGTCTGAGCCTCTTTTGACCTGAAAGGTTGCTAGTTTCGTAACTACCCCTTCCTTCACTCACCTCCTGTCATTCTACCCCTGCACCCTGCCCTCAAGCATCTTCGCACATACCTACACACTCAAGAATATTTCCTTTGTAGCATGCTACAAAGGAAATATTCAGATTGGCATTGCATGGCTAGGATATGTAGTTTCCTTTTCTATTGAAAAGAACTACTGCTGATGTTGTGGGGATACTACTGAGAGAACAGTAACAGCAATTTTATTGACATAGACTGTTGGGGGTGTGTAAAAACCTGGGTAACCAATGAAAGACTTGCTTTCTGCCATCAGAGAGCTCTTCCCAATTCTCCAACTTGATGGCTACTACCCATCAAATCCCATTAACAGTGGACAGTTCTCTCAACAAGTGTGTATTACTTCGTTTCCTCTGAGCAGAGAAGAGATCTATTTCTGCCTTTTTTCTTCCTGATATGACTACCTTCTCCACCTGTACCCACCCAAGCTCCCTCATTTATCCTCTGCCATAGGGTAGTTTCTAGTAATTCAAGTGACTGGCTCCAGAGCCTTCAGAGGGAGTCTAGCATTTATAATGCAACTATTCTAAATGCTACCTTCTTAGGAAGAATCTTCCAGCAGACAACTAAAGCTTATTAGACACTAAAATGAGTTATGGAAGAAGGTTTAGATTCTCATTCCCTAGAGGTTTTTAAAAGCAGGATGGATTCTCATCTGTCTAGGATGATTATGTGGGATTGTGCTGGTAGGCCAGGGGATAGACCAGCTCATCATCCACGAATAATATTTATTAAACTCTTGGGCATTCCTGATACTAGATGCTAGATTTCACATATATGTTAAAAGATAATTTTAAAAACACAGCCCCTACTCTCAAAGAAGTTTTAAACTAATGAAATAGAAGGTTTGTATGGCATAAAAAAATAGAATGAATGTCAACAGTGCTTTAATTTCCCAAACCATTGTAGGTCTTTCGTTTTCTTTCTCTACTCGTGCTCCTTAGTTTTGTTTGGGAATTATGCAGAGAAAGATTTTCAGTGAGCATATTTTTCTGGCTCATATTTTCCAGGAGCTTGTGAATGATGCAAAATGTGAGCAGATATCAGAAGAATTAAGTGGGGCAGAGAGCACATAGTGGCCTCAGTTCTTTCATGCAGAAAGCAAGAGGCTGCTGGGTTTGGTCTTAAAGGATCCTTCACTGTCTAATACTTTGGGATTCTAGGCCATGTGGTAATTAGGGTCAAGGTGGCGGGGGAGGGGGGGAGATTATAAGGAGGTGGGAAGAAAGCAAATTATTGAAGATTTTCCCCTCAGAGCCATAAAATAATATTGACCAGGGATCTATTTCAGGCCAGGTTTTCAGTAGACAAATATGGTTATGTTCTTTGAGAGCCAGCAGAATCATGGAAATGCCCTCTGGCAGAGAAGAACACAATTTATGTGCAAGCTTAGCTAGAACCTGACCACATTCCATCCCACTCCCTGAGCAGATCACAGAGGCTGTGACCCTGTGCTCTGTTATCTCAGATCTATGCTGTCCAGAATACGTAGAGCTCAGAAAAACCAAGTTGAGGTTGCACTTATGCATTTATTCTTATACTCTCATAAAGAAGTCTTTTTCTAGGTTACATTTTTTTTTTCCTTCTTACTCACAAGAGCAAAGTCCTAGAGGGCCTCAGTCAGCGTAGCCAGGTCCTTTGTGTCCTTGCTGTGTGGCCAATTAGAACAAGGTACACTGTGCTTCTCTTGGACCCAGTGCTGCACCTGGGTGCAGGGCTTGGCCAGAGGGAGCAGGCTAGATTGCAACCTCCTCACACCACTTGTGCAGGGCGCAACCTACCTAGCAACAAGGCAGCCCTGTAGGGAATGAGAGAATCTTGAACTCTCCAAGTGTGTATCTCTGTACAAAGCAAAAAACTGATTAGATATGCTTTATGAATTTTTCTAATTCATCTGTGTATGGAGAAATATGGATGGATGAAATCTCATCAGTATTTACTTCTAAACATAGTCCCCCCGCTCCCACCAGTGGTGGAAATTGAACCCAGGGCCTCAAGCACTGAGCTACATCTCTAGCCCTTTTTTATTGCAGGGGAGGGTGGTGTACAGGAGATTGAACCCAAAAGTGCTTAACGTCTAAGACACATCTCCAGCCATTTTTATATTTATTTTGAGATGGGGTCTTGCTAAATTGCTTAGGGCCTTGCTAAGTAGCTGAGGCTAGCATTGAACTTGTAATCCTGCCTCAGTCTCCCGAGCCACTGAGATCACAGACATGTACCACTGCACCTGGCTTCTAGCCTTTTTTATTTTTTAATTTCAAGACAGGTTCTCACTGAACTGCCCAGGTTGCCCTCCAACTTGCAGGCATCCTGCCTTGTTCTCCCAAGTCACTATACCTGGCTAACCAATAGTCTTTTTTTTTTTTGCTATTGAAAGAAAAGCATGGACAACTTTCCCCTGAACTTTCAGGAAAGTTTTTGTTGTGCTTGATAAGAGTTATTATAATGTGTTCTTTATGTTTAGTTTGTTGGATATTTTCCTCTTCCAGGAATGCACAAGCAATGGTAGGAGGCATCAGACCCTTCTGATGCCTGAAGTCCCTTGGCTGGACCTCCCACTGCCGCCACCTTAAGCACCAGACACGGTGAGCTATTCTCAGTTGTGGTACTGGGGACTGAACTCAGGGTCTGGGTTCAGGCCAATGGGTTGACATTGATCTGAATCCCCACTGGCTACACCCCTACCCCTTTTTTAAATTTTTATTTTGAGACAGGGTCTTGCTAAGTTGCCCAGCTGGACTCAAATTTGTGATCCTCTTGCCTCAGCCTTCCAAGTAGCTGCTGGGATTACAGGTGTATACCACCCCACCTGCCTGGCTTTATTATTTTTAACTAAAACATGTAATTTGGATTTATATAGGCAAACAAACATGAATGTAAATTTAATTTTTCAATGATTCAATCAATAGTTAACTCATAGAAAAGAAAGTAGGTTTCCAACTAATTTGACTCAAATTGAAAAAAAAATATGCAAAAATATGCCCAAATTGGATAGTGAATAATTGATGAAGATTCCATTTTGTTTAGTCAACCATTTAATCTACTATATAACTTATTACTTATTTCAGGTAAAACTCTCAGGTTGTAATTTTATGTACTTTTTGAGATTTTAGGCTTCTTAAACACATTGTACAACTAAAGTTATTTTCAACAGTAAGGAGTTGATCTTTTTCTAAAACTCTATAACTTATATTGGTAAGATAGATAATTTTTAAATATCGTTTTATTAAACAGCTTTATTTTAAAAGATAAGTTTCCAAACTTTCTGACAGCACAGGCGATTTTAAATATGGGAGAATGTGTCATGGTGTGTCTTTGATTCAATGAATTGATTCTCCTACCAGTCATCCAGTGGATATTCTAAATTTCAGAGATAGAACTAATTTTATTCCTTTATAGTCAGCTGTTAATGGTGACCAGTTTTAGGAAACAAATACATACAAATGAATTGTTAATGCTCTTGAATATGTGGGGGGAGCAGGGAGCAGAACCCATCAAAGTTTCCTTTGGCTGTACCAAGCCCTTGGGAGCAGGCAGATTCAATAATTGCAGGAGGGAGACTAGATTTCCTCCTGAGCTGTGAGTCTTTGAGTAATTTACTTAACCAGTCTAAACATTTAGTCCCCTTGTTTGTTATCTGAGGAAAATATCTACCTTGCAGAGTATTTGTAAATATTATAAACATCATATAAATTATTAATCATATTGTTTTTCACAGTAGATGTTCAATAAATGGTGGCTGGATATCTGAGCGTGTTGTTTTGCACTTTCCTCAGACTATAAATTCCTTGAGAGTAAGAATTACAGCCCCAGGTACAGTTTGTCCCATACTGCTGATGATCAATAAATATTTGAGCTAAAATTTCATTTTTGAAAGGCTTTTAAAATAATCTCTCCTTCAGAGTTTTAGCTTTTTGCATCTGACTTGTCTTTCCCTTCAAAGTCCTAAAATCTAATTTCTTGGTATTCAAGAGCATTTTCTCGTTTCTTTTTTTTCTTTTATACTGGGGATTCAACCTAGGGGTGATTTAACAGCCTTTTTTTTCCCCCCTAGTTGCTCTTTTTGTGGATAGAAGTCCCAGTTGGCTTGCTGCTCTTCCAGGATATTGTTTTGGAGCTATGGATGCTATGGATCATTCAGGTAGTGTGGCTGCTGATGATGGGCACTAGAACATCTTTAGGAATAAGGGACCACATCTCTCCCATAAGCCCTTTCTCATTACTTTAACCCTAATTAGCGGGCTACATAATCTTGCTGGTGGATTCCTAAAATTGTGTGTGTGTGTGTGTGTGTGTGTATGTGTATATATATCCAATGGACTTCATTTTGTTTATTATATGTGGTGCTGAGATCGAACCCAGGGCCTCACACATGCTAGGCAAGCGCTTTACCATGGTGCCACAATCCCAGCCCCCTAAAATTGTCCTTTTGTTGTTGTTGTTTTTCCCTAAAATTGTGTATTAAAAGGCTTCCCTACCTCCCTCCTTTCCTTCCACTGCCACACCAAACGTAAATCCATTCCCTCCCTGACCTAAAGGACTGCTTTAACAATGCCACTTTCCTGTTTAAGAACCATAATAGACAACTAGTGAATATCTATTTAGTCTCTTCCATCTTTAGATCTAGCTTTCACTCCCTGTCCTTTCTCCTCCCTCCAACCAGTTATCAGTCTTCCCTATTCCTGTTTAATGCTTCTATTCTAGTTCAACAGGGCTACTTGCATTGATTTGTTAATACACGAGTGGGCCAGATGTTGTGTAAAGGTGTCTGTATGTTTACACCTTGATTCTCCCTTGTTTGCAGGGGCTAGAAACCTGGGAGTAACTTTTCTCATATTCTCTTGTCAGCAGGGTTCAGGTACACTTTGAGCTGTGCCAAGCAGATATCTTGATGAGAGATTTGGAAGGCAGAAGAGAGTGGGCTACCATCCTTGGCTTTTTATTCTATTAGTGGTTTTGGGCAGACCTTGAAGTCGGCAGGGTTCCCAGCAGCCTCTGATTCTGGGAGGCAGAAGCTCTTTGATGCTTTGTGTAAGGATGTGCCAGGCACCATCTAGCTCACCAGGGAAGGTATAGAATGAACAAATAATAAGTCCAGTAAAATAAGCTCTCATTAACATACTTCCGACTCAACCATTTCCTTCGTTTTTATTTGTGATTGAAAGGAAAACAGCTCAGGAATTTGGAGGAAAGCTAGGTGTTTTAAAATAGCAAGTAAGTAGTCAACTACTAGACCAAGAGCTTTTCTTTCTTTCTTTCTTTCTTTCTTCTTTTTTTCCTCCTCCTCCTCCTCCTCTTCTTCTTCTTGCCTCTTTTTTTTTTAAATTGGGGATTGAACCCAGGGGCTCTTAACCACTGAGCCATATCCCCAACTCTTTTTATATTTCATTTTTAAAGCAACTCCTTAAGTTGTTTAGGGTCTGCCCAAATTGCTGAGGCTGGCCTTGAACTTGCAGTCCTCTGATCCTCCTCCTCAGCCTTCGAGGCGCTGGGATTATAAGAGTATGTGACCCAGCATCCAGCCAAGAATTCTTTTTCCAATGTTACTGCTTTTATCTATGACAAAAGATAGTTGGATTTTCTACAAGGAAAATAGTACAATTGGGACATAAGAGATATATTGGATAATTTAATGTTTTTAAAGTCATAGAGTGATATTTCTTTATCATTTTTCTCATTTAATATTATACTGAATATTATAGGAATTTCAAATGTGTTACTTAATACACATTTATCTGAATTTAAAAAATTAAAGAGGGACATTCTTTACATGGAGGTACTTGGAAATTCTTTAAAATACATCATACATATATAAATTTGATTTATCCATTTCATTTCTACACCCACTGTCTACCCCCCCCCTCCTCATTTCATTCCTCCATCCATTAGGTCTGCCTCCCTCCTCTGCTCCCTCCCCCATTCTCCTTCCTGTTACTCTATTGTTCTTTTTTCACTCGTTTATTTGTTTATTTTTAATTTGTGCCTTATAGACACATAAGGGTGGAATTCACTGTGGCATATTTGTACATGCTCATGATTTTGTTAAATCATTCTGAATTTCTTTCCCTTTTCCATCCCTCCTCCCTCCTTCGTTCTCTATCTCCTTCTATCCCACCGATCTTCCCTATATCTTTATGATATCTGATACTGTCACATACACACTTTTTTTCCTATTATTTTACTCTAGCTTCTGCATATGAAAGAAAATATTCAACCCTTGATTTTCTGAATCTGGCTTTTTTCACTTAGCATGATGTTCTTCAGTTCTATCCATTTACCAGCAAATGCCATAATTTCATTCTTTATGGCTTAGTACAACTCCATTGTGTATGTGTACTACATTTTCTCTATCCATTCATCTGTAGATGGTCATCTTGGGTGCTTCCATAACTGGGCTATTATGAACTGCTATAAACATTGATGTGGCTGTATCACTGTAGCATGCTGATTTTATTTCTTTTGGATAAATACCAAGGAGTGGGTGATATGGTAGTTTCATTCCTAGTTTTCTGAGGAATCTCCATATTGCTTTCCAGAGTGTTTGTACTAATTTGTAGTACAATTCAATAATGTATGAATGTACCTTTCCCCCTACATTCTCACCAGCATTTATTATTTTTTGCATTTCTTAATAACTGTCATTCTGACTGGAGTGATATGAAATCTTAAAGTAGTTTTGATTTACATTTCTTTGATTGCTAGAAGTGTTGAACATTTTTCACATATTTGTTGGCCATTTATGTTTCTTCTTTTGAGAAGTTTCTGTTCTTTTGCCCATTTATTGATTGGGTTATTTGTTTTGTTTTGTACATCCCCATTTCTAAAGTGGAAAATAGGAAGAATTTTTCAGATAATTAGATAACAAACTCATTCATAGGTATATTAAGGTATTTAACTAGGTCTTTGAGGGCTTTCTAAATTATTCTTACCCTTTATTTTCTATTTCTTAAAAAATAGCGATTAAAATTTTAAATCTATTATTAACTACACAAGGAATTCACATTACAAAAATTCATATTAAGTATACCGCATTGCAAACATTTGAACCAGTAGAGATCAAGTGAAGGTCTCCTAAGAGTGTTTTTCTCCTTTATGAAAGATAAGGATCTGAGCACACAGACCCTTTTGCCACTGTTACTCCCAGAGCTTTATTATTTATGTATTATGCCAACTCTAGTATTGTTATGGTTGGCAAAAAATTTTAGTATTTTGTAACGTTAAGTTTTAATGCTTGTAGGTTAATTCTAAACAATGAAAAGTCAGGGCTGGGATATAGCACAGTGGGGGAACACTTGCCTAGCATGCACCAGGCTCTGAGGTTGATCCTAAGCATTGTGAGGGGTAGGGGAGGATAAAGAGCAACAGTAGCACTCATGACTACACAAATATCGCTCACTGCTGAGGTAAACAGTAGGATGTATTTCTTTCTGTATTGTTCTAGTGTTCCCTGTTGGCTGGCAAAATTTTTTAAATTACAGGATTTTTTAGTGTAATTTAAATTAGTCTGTTCTCGTCAACCAGTTGCTCAAGGTAATGGCACATTTTAAAATCTTAGCATCAGACCTTTTCTTATGGAGTTTTGTTTTTATTTTTCCTTGAGTTTCTAATTACCTTTGTCTCATTTTTTTTTCTCTCCTTCTATGTGTAAAAACCTATGACATAGATGCACTGTCATTTACTTTACACTTCAATATTGTTGAACATTTTAGGTCATTTTCCTTTTTGTCCCATAGGAATGTTTCAATGAAAATTATCAAAATGCATATTGTGCCTGTGCATTTTTTGGGTTCGTACAAATTTCTATAAAATAGAAATCTAAAGGAGGAATTGCTGGGTTGAAGAGGATATTCAATTTAATAACGACTGGTAAATAGCCTTCAGAACAGCATTACCATCTACTGTACAGCACCTCTTAGCCTTTATTAGTCATTTTTATTTTTGCCATTTATCTCATTGCTGTTTTAATTTGCTTTTGCCTCCTCTATTACTGAGGGGAAAAAAACATTTTCATAAGCTATTGATACTTGTAATACGTTATTATTGTTATTATTAGGTCTTTTTATTTTTAGGATATTTTATGTATTTTGGATGTAAGTTCTTTTTCTCAACAAGTTAGGCATATATCCTTCTAGCATACCAATTGTCTTTTAACCATGCAGTGTTTTTGTCAAAGAGAAGCTTTAGTTTTCAGGTAGCAGAAAAAATCAGTTTTTTTCCTCTAGAGGCTTTGTATGGTGTCTTACTTCAGATAGGCTTCCCTAGCTCAGAGTAATAATAATACTCTCCTGTTTGCTTGAAAATACTTATACAGATTTCTTTTAATATTTGGCACTTTACCTTCTGTGAAATTATATATATACACACACACACACACACACACACACACCGAGGTGATCTTCATTTTGTATGTGCATAAGACAAGTGATATATGAATATTACAATTTATGAGCAGAAAGGCCCTACAGTAACTGATATGCTCAAATTCGGGACCCCCAAAAGATCACCAGAGACCAAGATAGATGTAAGCAGCAAAGAGATGTTTATTGTGATCTAGCTCGGTCCTCTACTCACACAGCAACTGGTGACGGTGACGCTGAGTGGCCCTGAGCCCAGGATTTGCAGCGGTTTTATACACTCTTTGGGGAAGACAGGGACTTCACATAATCATAGCATCTCTTAGCAAATCATCACACACCGCGGGAAAATCAAATAACAACTCTAAAACATGATTAGCACATTAACTTGCCGGAACAAGTTGGGTAAGGGTGATTGGTTAGTACAAGAGGGGGATTCCTCTGAACTGATTGGTCAACCACCATAAACTACTGGGAGGGTCATCTGGTATTCCAGGTATTTTCCCTGTCTCATGCTGATGGTGGTTGCTAGGGGGTTGCTATGGGTCCCCACCTAGCCTGACTGAGTCAGGGACACCTGGCCCCACAGATCTCTCCTGTTATTTGCAGACAAACAACTCAGCAGGGTGGGTATGTGCCTAGGAGTGTCCTTGGGTTTTTCCAAGGACAAGGGCCACGCCCCCTTCCTTGGATAGGCTTTGCTCTGAGGTAGAGGCTAGTTTCTCAAAAATGGAGTCACATCAGTTTCTCATAACAATTCTTCCCTGCATATTTAAAATTATGCCCCTCTCTCTTTCTTATTTCTCTCTCACACTAAAGGCAACACTGGCCACTGTATGACATGCATTATGGACCTCGCTAATGTTAAGAGCAATCCCAGTGTCTACTAAATATCCATTCCTTTTTATCTCTGTGGAAGCCATTACTAGTGCTCATCAGTGTCCAGTTCTCTCCTGGGCACAGAGATGATTATTTCTTAGATCCCAAGTAGTTAGCTGGGGCCATGTGACTAATTCTGGCCAATGACTCTAGAGAGGAAGCAGTGTGTCATTTACAGGTCTTTTCAGGCAGAGGTAGAGGTGGAGAGCCCTGAGTGACCTTGTGGCTTTTGTTCTGAGCTCTCCTCAGGGAGGGTGGGGCCTCTGAGGAGAGGAGGCACCATGTGGAGGACAACTGCCAGGCTGAATAACTGAACCTACAGAGGACTTGCTGTAAAAGAAAATATTCTGATACATTAAGCCACTAAGATATCTGGGCCTATTTATTACCACATTGGAAGGCAAATGAGTAAGGTATGACACTATTTCCTGGGCAAACTTGATGCTTTTTTTTTTTTTTTTTAAGTTGAGAGTTAGCAAACTTTAACACTGTATCACTTGAAACAAATCATTTGCAAAATACCTTATAATTGATTTGAGAAATACCAATATCATTTAATTCTTATTTAGGGATATTTACTGAGCACCTACACAGAACCAGGCACTGTGAGTACAAGGCCAACACAAGAGACTGACCTTTCTCCTCTTGGAGTTTGGCAGTAATCCCATAGAGGAGGCTGTATGGGGGGAATTGTTAAGGGTGTGGCTTTGGAGCCAGATGCCTTAAATTTGAAACCTGGCTCTGCCTTTTACTAGCTAAGTACCCTTAGGCAAGTTAATTAACCTCTCAGTGCCCCCTTTCATCATCGGTACAATTAAGAATAAATGAAGTAAAGCATGTAAAATGTTTAGCACAGGGCTTGACAATATGCACTCAGCAAATATTAGTTATCACCATTAGGATCACAAACCTGGAATATACCCGGGTGTGTTAGGGGTAATGTAGAACTATGCTCCCAAAACATAGAGCCAACATCATCAAATCACATCTCCAGCCTCGAAATTTATCTCCTACGTCAATATGGCATACTTGCCATTAGAAAACTGGCCCAGGCCAGGCGTGGTGGCACATGCCTATAATCCCAGCAGCTCAGAAGGTTGAGACAGGAGGATCGAGAGTTCAAATCCAGCCTCAGCAATGTCGAGGTGCTAAGCAGCTCAGTGAGACCCTGTCTCTAAATAAAATACAAAACAGGGTTGGGGATTTGGCTCAGTGGTCAAGTGCCTCTGGGTTCAATCCCCAGTACCAAAAAAAAAAAAAAAAAGAAAGAAAACTGAAGTTCTAAGGCAGTAAGAAGTTGGTATCATGAAAAATATCTTGTGCTCTCATTCCTTTATTTTTATTTATTTATTATTATTTTATTTTATTGTAGTACAGGGATTGAACCCAGAGTGCTTAACTACTTCATTTTTAAATTTTGAAATAGGGTCTTGCTCAGTTGCTCAGGCTGGCCTTGAATTTGCCGTCCTCCTGCCTCAGTCTCTCAAGTTCCTGGGATTACAGGCATTAACCACCATGCCCGGCTCATTCCTTTACTTTTAATGTTTAATTTTTAATGATCTGGGGAATCTGGCTTAAAACAATCTATTTTTAGATGGTCTGTAAAAAAATGATGTCTAGTTCATGAACTAGCTTAAAAAATATAAGAACATTGCATATTGAGTTCATAGATAAACATTGCACATATATAATAGCTAAAACCATGTAGATACATACACATCTAAATGTAGCACTTTCTATGGAACATTCTAGATTTATTTTGAACCCTGAACTTTATATTTACCTGTTACCCAAGGTCACAGAACTAGTCAGTAGAAGAGATGAGATTAAAATCACAAAATCAGCAAATGCTCTTTCCATCACCACCCTGTGTCATAGAAGAAATAATCACCTTTGGCTCACTAGAACTGCAGTCAACAAGGAAAAGATAGTAATATATTACACATGCCTACAGTTTTATTGCTAGACCATATAACCTTATCTTCAATGGAGGTTTCAGTATTTTCTCTGTAAATACAAACCACTTCCTTTGTGCACCACTATAGCTAAATTATTAATAAACATAGTAAAGGCAAGGTCTTTGGTGAAACTGTAGATCTAATATTAGGTCAATTACAAAATCTCACACCTTTCCTTCTATATAAAACTGCTATATGTTTTTACTGTTATAGCCCCTTCTACCGTATCCTTCTAAACCACTAATCAAATTCCTCAAGTGGAGGGAAACTAACTAACATTTACTGTGAAATTCACATTTATATGTTTGGAACCGTCTTCACAGAAACATAGATCTTTAACAAATACACAATTAATTCAAATACACACATCATACAAGCTTTTATTTTAATTTTATAGACCACAAACACAAAAAATACTCACAGAAAAGTGTATCAAGGAAAAGAACTACAAACTTCTCATCATCTTTATTTTTGTTTGGGCTGAAGTTTGGATCAAGAGAAAATCACTACCTGGTAACAAGTTGCTCCCAGAGCCATAAAACTTCTAGATTTGTATGTAAATGTGTTGTATGTATGTGTCGATTACAGTTGAAATGAGGTTTGCTGTCAAAGTATTTGAAATATGATTAGCAAATTAAAAAAAAATTTCTATGATCTCACTATCCATAGAAAACTACTGTCAATATTTTGATGTATATATTTTCAGAATTTTTTCTATGTGTATTTATACATGTTGTGACTATTTTTCTATAGATGTATGCATCTCCATTGTCATTGCTAAATGCCATATATTTTCCCCTTGCGCCATAAACATATACTGTAATAAAATATCCCCTTGTTAGTCAACTTTACTATCATAAATCAATAAATCAATGAATCAAATCAATTTAAATCTATATATCAATAAATCAATTCAATTTAAATTTATAAATCAATAAATCAAATCAATTAAATTTAATTATTGGTAGAATTGCTGAGTCAAATTCTTCAGTACAAGGTACCAAAACAATCCCAGGTAAAATCATGTAGCTAGGTCTGCTGTTCTTCCAGGCTGGCTCCTTGTCCCTCCATTCTCCCCTAGGAATGGTAACCTTGAGGAACATGGATATAGGAATCTATGGGATACAGTTATTGGCATTTGAATCTCAATTCTGATTAGTACCTAAAATAATTACTAGGTGTTCATGGGATATGGATAGTTAGTTTTAATCTCAATTCTGACTAATACTTAAATCTGTGAAAACCATTTCTAGTTATGTGCTCTCTAAAATGGAGGTTTGACAGGTCAGCTGTTTATCAGAATTACCTGAGAAATTTAATATATGCTCCTGGATCTTGTCCTACAACATGAATGGAAATCTCTAGGATAGTCCTTGAGAACCTGCCTTTTTGAAAACTCCCTGGACTTCCACCGCGTTGCAGTCTGGGACCCACTAGGCCAAGCTGCCTCCCAGGCCTCTCTTCTGCTGGAACCCATTCATACTTTTCACTATCTTGTTTTGTACCTCCAGGCTCCACACTGCTTTCTCTACAGTCCAGTCCAATTGTGTGTAATGGTAGAGGAAAAGCAAGGGGAAATGATGAAATAATGCACCCATTAAAATGAAAAATTCTTGAATCATTTTTTAAAAAGGAAATGAAGCCAGTCATGGTGATACACACTGCAATCCCGGGGACTCACGAGGCTGAGGTGGAAGAATCGCAAATTTGAGGCCAGAATCAGCAACTTAGAAGAACTTGTGTCAAAATAAAAACATTTTTTTTTTTTAAATCTGGAAATATAGCTCAATGGTAAAGCACCCAGTGATCAATGCCCCAAATCTGAATGAAATAAATAAGTAAATAAATACATTTAAAATGATAAAAAATAAATAAAAAGTAAGTTAAAACCAATTGAAGTAATCTCATTTCTGCTACTTCTTATTGGCTTAAATGTTGATTAACATTTTATTAAATTTCAAAGCCTGATTGAGGTTTTTTTCTGGTGTTTAAGCAAGTACGATGAAACAAATGGCAAGTAGGATGTCCAGTTTACAATTGAAGAGTCCAAAGTCTCTTGTAGTTCCTAAAGTCTATGATTTTGTTTCCGATACTGTTATAGATGCTAGAAAAATACACACACAGTTGACAAGTCCAGCTCTCTCACTCCATAGGGAACATGCTAATATAAAAGATTTATAGAAATGCAGCTATTTCTAGGGGAATGAAGGTAATATACTGATTCACAGGCCCAGTCAGTCAACCAATAATAATTTAGAATGCAGAGTTTATTTATGATCTTCTGTTTTCAACAGTTTTTGAATATCTGATCAATAAAGCTAATAGAAAAGGCTCAGAATACATATGTAATAGTTTCATTTCTCATTCCTCAAGAGCAGAGAAAAATATCTCTAACTCACCTCAGTTTCTCAATCTTTACATCTTCCATTTCTTGAAAGAAATAAAATCAGTGATTCAGAGTAGAATTTTAGAATCTATGGGTTTTTGAAAAGTAAATAGTAATGGAATTTGCTGAGCATGGTGGCACCCACCTGTAATCTCAGTGGCTCAGAAGGCTGAGACAAGAGGATTGCCAAATTCAAAGTCAGCCTCAGCAACTAAGCAAGGCAGGCCCTAAGCAATTTAGCAAAACCATGACTCAACATAAAATGTTTTTTAAAAAGGGCTGGGGATGTAGTTCAATGGTTAAGCACCCCTGGGTTCAACCTCTAGTACCAAAAAATAAAGAAATAAATAGTAATGGAAATTAACTTTTCTTCATGATTATAGTAAAATGAACATTATGCCTATTGATGCCTATAGGACAAAAAGAGGTCACAATTTTTTAAAAATATTTACTTTGTAGTTGTAGTTGGACACAATACCTTTATTTTATTTATTTTTATGTGGTGTCAAGGATCAAACCCAGGGCCTTGCACATGTAAAGCACATACTCTATGGCTGAGCCACAACCCAGTCCTGAGGTTACAAATATTTTGAGACCTATAAATATCATTTTATGTGAAAAGAACTTCATTATATCAGTTTATTAATTAAGACATGTTTAACCATGAGATTCTAATAAAAATCTGAGCCTTTGATTCCGAGATTGTACTACTATGATAGTATCTGCATTTTCAGTGGATTCTTTCTATCAAATATTAGTTCTGTCATGGATGATTATAATTATACAATATTCTCTTCTGTACTCTCAATCATCTGATATGATGAGCTTTTTGGCTCAGAATTAATATATGACAGAGTCAAGCATTTTAGAAGACTTAAGGTGCTGAGTTGTTTTCTACTCTGTGCTTTTCTTTTTTTAAAGATAGAGAGAGAGGAGAGAGAGAGAGAGAATTTTTTTTTTTAATTTTTATTGTTGGTTGTAAAAAACATTACATAGTTCTTGATGTATCATATTTCACAAATTTGATTCAAGTGGGTTACGAACTCCCATTTTTACCCCGTATACAGATTGCAGAATCACATCGGTTACACATCCACATTTTTACATATTGCCATACTAGTGTCTGTTGTATTCTGCTGCCTTTTCTATCCTCTACTATCCCCCCTCCCCTCCCCTCCCATCTTCTCTCTCTACCCCATCTACTGTAATTCATTTCTCCCCCTTGTTTTTTTTTTCCCTTTCCCCTCACTTCCTCTTGTATGTAATTTTGTATAACAATGAGGGTCTCCTTCCATTTCCATGCAATTACCCTTCTCTCTCCCACCTCTCGTCCCTGTTTAATGTTAATCTTCTTCTCCTGCTCTTCCTCCCTACTCTGTTCTTAGTTGCTCTCCTTATATCAAAGAAGACATTTGGCATTTGTTTTTTAGGGATTGGCTAGCTTCACTCAGCATAATCTGCTCTAATGCCATCCATTTCCCTGAAAATTCCATAATTTTGTCATTTTTTAATGCAGAGTAATACTCCATTGTGTATAAATGCCACATTTTTTTTAATCCATTCATCTATTGAAGGGCATCTAGGTTGGTTCCACAGTCTAGCTATTGTGAATTGTGCTGCTATGAACATCGATGTAGCAGTGTCCCTGTAGTATGCTCTTTTTAGGTCTTTAGGGAATAGACCGAGGAGGGGAATAGCTGGGTCAAATGGTGGTTCCATTCCCAGCTTTCCAAGAAATCTCCATACTGCTTTCCAAATTGGCCGCACCAATTTGCAGTCCCACCAGCAATGTACAAGTGTACCCTTTTCCCCACATCCTTGCCAGCGCTTGTTGTTGTTTGACTTCCTAATGGCTGCCAATCTTACTGGAGTGAGATGGTATCTTAGGGTGGTTTTGATTTGCATTTCTCTGACTGCTAGAGATGGTGAGCATTTTTTCATGTACTTGTTGATTGATTGTTATGTCCTCCTCTGAGAAGTGTCTGTTCAGGTCCTTGGCCCATTTGTTGATTGGGTTATTTGTTTTCTTATTGTTTAATTTTTTGAGTTCTTTGTATACTCTGGATATTAGGGCTCTATCTGAAGTGTGAGGAGTAAAGATTTGTTCCCAGGATGTAGGCTCCCTATTTACCTCTCTTATTGTTTCTCTGGCTGAGAAAAAACTTTTTAGTTTGAGTAAGTCCCATTTGTTAATTCTAGTTATTAACTCTTGTGCTATGGGTGTCCTATTGAGGAATTTGGAGCCCGACCCAACAATATGTAGATCGGAGCCAACTTTTTCTTCTATCAGATGCAGTGTCTCTGATTTGATATCAAGCTCCTTGATCCATTTTGAGTTAAATTTTGTGCATGGCGAGAGAAAGGGATTCAATTTCATTTTGTTGCATATGGATTTCCAGTTTTCCCAGCACCATTTGTTGAAGATACTATTCTTCCTCCATTGCATGGTTTTAGCCCCTTTATCAAATATAAGATAGTTGTAATTTTGTGGATTGGTCTCTGTGTCCTCTATTCTGTACCATTGGTCCACCCGCCTGTTTTGGTACCAGTACCATGCTGTTTTTGTTACTATTGCTCTGTAGTATAGTTTGAAGTCTGGTATCGCTATGCCGCCTTATTCACACTTCCTGCTTAGCATTGTTGTTGCTATTCTGGGTCTTTTATTTTTCCATATGAATTTCATGATTGCTTTCTCTATTTCTACAAGAAATGCCGTTGGGATTTTGATTGGCATTGCATTAAACCTATAGAGAACTTTTGGTAATATCGCCATTTTGATGATGTTAGTTCTGCCTATCCATGAACAGGGTATATTTTTCCATCTTCTAAGATCTTCTTCTATTTCTCTCTTTAGGGTTCTGTAGTTTTCATTGTATAAGTCTTTCACCTCTTTTGTTAGGTTGATTCCCAAGTATTTTATCTTTTTTGAGGATATTGTGAATGGAGTGGTTGTCCTCATTTCCATTTCAGAAGATTTGTCGCTGATATACAGGAATGCCTTTGATTTATGCGTGTTGATTTTATATCCTGCCACTTTGCTGAATTCATTTATTAGCTCTAATAGTTTCTTTGTAGACCCTTTTGGGTCTGCTAGGTATAGAATCATGTCTACTGCAAATAGTGATAATTTAAGTTCTTCTTTCCCTATTTTTATGCCTTTAATTTCTTTCGTCTGTCTAATTGCTCTGGCCAGTGTCTCTAGAACTATGTTGAACAGAAGTGGTGAGAGAGGGCATCCCTGTCTTGTTCCAGATTTTAGAGGGAATGCCTTCAATTTTTCTCCGTTCAGAATGATGGTAGCCTGAGGCTTAGCATAGATAGCTTTTACAATATTTAGGTATGTTCCTGTTATCCCTAGTTTTTCTAGAGTTTTGAACATAAAGGGATGCTGTACTTTGTCGAATGCTTTTTCTGCATCTATCGAGATGATCATATGGTTCTTATCTTTAAGTCTATTGATGTGGTGAATAACATTTATTGATTTCCGTATATTGAATCAGCCTTGCATCCCAGGGATGAATCCTACTTGATCATGATGCACGATCTTTTTGATATGTTTCTGTATCCGATTTGCCAGAATTTTATTGAGGATTTTTGCATCTATGTTCATTAGAGATATTGGTCTGTAGTTTTTTTTCTTTGAAGTGTCTTTGTCTGGTTTAGGAATCAGGGTGATGTTGGCCTCGTAGAATGAATTTGGATGTTCTCCCTCTTTTTCTATTTCCTGAAATAGCTTGAAAAGTATTGGTGTTAATTCTCCTTTAAAGGTTTTGTAAAACTCTGCTGTATACCCTGGGTCCTGGGCTTTTCTTAGTTGGTAGTCTTTTGATGGCTTCTTCTATTTCCTCAATTGATATTGGTCTATTTAGGTTGTGTATATCCTCCTGACTCAATCTGGGCAGATCATATGACTTAAGAAATTTATCAATGCCTTCACTATCTTCTATTTTATTGGAGTATAAGGATTCAAAATAATTTCTAATTATCTTCTGTATTTCTGAAGTGTCTGTTGTGATATTGCCTTTTTCATCCCATATGCTAGTAATTTGAGTTCTCTCTCTTCTTCTCTTTGTTAGCATGGCTAAGGGTCTGTCGATCTTATTTATTTTTTCAAAGAACCAACTTTTAGTTTTGTCAATTTTTCAATTGTTTCTTTTGTTTCGATTTCATTGATTTCAGCTCTGATTTTAATTATTTCTTGCCTTCTACTTCTTTTGCTGTTGTTTTGCTCTCCTTTTTCTAGGATTTTGAGATGAAGTGTGAGATCATTTATTTGTTGTTTTTTTCTTTTTTTAAGAAATGAACTTCAAGCAATGAATTTTCCTCTTAGAACTGCTTTCAT